TTGGCAAAACTGGGGCTTTAAACAGATACAACTTTTCTGTCATGCATCACACAGATGCATCTCAAACAGGTCCAAGGAGGTGATCCTCCCCCTCTATGCAACACTAGTCAGGCCACAGCTGGAGTAGTGCGTCCAGTTCTGGGTGCCGCACTTCAGGAGGGATGTGGCCAGCATCAAGAGGGTCCAGAGGAGGGCCACTGGCATGATCGGGGGCAGCAGGGCAGACCCTACGAGGAGAGACTATGAGACCTGAACCTGCTTAGCCTTCACAGGAGAAAGCTGAGCAGGGACCTGGTGGCTGTCTGTAAACTTACTAGGGGGAACCAGCGGGGATTGGGAGAGACCTTGTTCCCCTGAGTGCCTCCCGGAGTAACAAGGAATAAAGGCCATAAGTTGTTAGAGAGTAAGTTTAGACTAGACATTAGAAGGCACTACTTCACAGTCACGGCAGCTAAGATCTAGAACCATCTTCCAAGGGAAGTGGTGCTGGCTCCTACCCTGGGGGTCTTTAAGAGGAGGCTTGATGATTACCTAGCTGGGGTCATTTGAGCCCAGTTTTCTCCTGCCCAGGGCAGGGGGTCAGACTAGAAGAACTGCAAGGTCCCTCCTGACCCTGAATCTATAAATCTATGTGGAAATAAAGCCTCAGATGTGCTTTCTGGCAATGCTTTTAGGGAAGGAGGTACCACAGAAAGTAGGCTAGAGGATTGGTGGAATTGTTCTATGTGATAAGGCAAAGAATGTTAAGAGAAATATTCTGAAAATAGTTGATGGCTGGGAGTGTGTGTAGGGAAGTGTGAGAGAAGGCATTCTTCACTAGTTTTCATTCCCAGCTCCAAGAAGTTTGATTTAAACATTGGACCCGTGCTACATGGTCAAATTAAAGCTGGATAGAAATCAGCTATAGAGTTGTTACACATTTTCAAGCACAAACTTTGTAGCTGGCTGACCCTTTATATAGCTCAATAGTCATTTTTGTGGTATGATAAGTAATTTGTATGTGTCTAAATGTATTGAATGATTAACCAGTTAATTGCATAATACATGTAATGCGTAGCAGGGGAGAGCCAGCTCATCCAGGAATAAGGACTTCTGACTTCTCACACTGAGCTACTGTCTGCAGCAGGGATGACTGAATATCTGGACTCCTGGATTATATTCCCATGTGCCCTCATACACAGAACAAGGCAGTTTGCTGCTTTTCCTCAGCTGTACCATATGCCCAGCGACCCTGCCACATAAGCTCTTTATTTACTAATGCTGCTCCCTCAAGCTCTTCAAGGATTTGAATTTAGAGAATTTCCCTGACTACCACCCTTTTGGTCTCTGTAGGCTGAGCTGTGCTGCTTCCAGGTATCCTAAATCAAAGCTATAATGACCACTTACCTCCAGGTTGGTTTGGGAGAGTCTGTAACACTGCAACTTGATTAGAGTATCAGCCCTACCCAGATAGGAGGAGTACTTCAGGGACAAGGAGTAGGCAGGGCAGTAAAGAGGCCATTATTTAGTCTCCAGTGAATGTAATAGGATTGTAGTTATTTCTATAGGACCGTATTTGTTTAATCTCTTTTTCAGTTTTATATCATTTGTGTGTAAGAGAGGACATAAAATGGTTCTATTTGTGCCATCTCTTAAAGCAGAAGCTGGCTGCAAAGTGATGGTGCTGAAGGTGCATTGTGCTGATTTAGCACAGAGAACTTGGTTTTCAGCTGGTAATTGCACGACAGGTTACTTTTAACCTAAGGTGGGGGATGTACCACCTGCCCATACTGGGCCTGAGAAGAGCAGAGCTCCCACACTGCAGGTCCAAAGGGAATAAGGTTTTAATCCACTTCCCCTATTCCCACCAAAGAAAGTCCTGGTCAAGCTGCCTTGATCCAGGAACTAGGAGCATTGATTTCCATCTACTCCAGCATAGTACAAGAAGATTCTGGTATGAGGGACAGTAAGGACATCCTCTCTCACCTCCTGAGCATGAGAAGAGATAGGAGAAAAGAAGAGGTTTTGCCAGGCTCTGCAACCTGGCACTTGGGAAAGTAGCGAGACCACACACTGAGTATTTGGCTGTAAAAGGGTTAAAAGGAAATAGCTGGCCAATGCAGAATTTCATTTATTCTGCCCTGGGCTTGTTTGAAGTAAAATTTTAGTTGAGATGCTTACACTAGTGCTACTGAAATCTTACTATTCCTTTCATTCACAGGCTGGGGAGTGTAATTCTTAAGGAAACTGTCCACCATGGATGAGGATATCAGCCTGAAGTTTCATCAGCAGCTTCTTGACATTGATGAGAACCTGGGAACTGAAGAAGTGGCAGCTTTGAAATTTCTCTGTAGTGACTTTATCTCCTTCAGAAAGCTGGAAACTGTGGAAACTGCAAAGGATATTTTCCAGCACCTCATGACTAAAGATTTCCTGAGTAAGGGAGATACTTTTCTAATAGCAGAACTGCTGTATAGGATTAGGTATCACTTCTTGCTCCAGAAGCTTGGCTATACCAAGGAGAAAGTGCAAGAAAATCTACACCAGAGGGGCAGGGTGTCCCCTTACAGGTGAGCTTGCTGGAAGGTGGATGCCTTAGATGTTTTTTGCCTTGCAAGGATTCTGATATGTTTCTTCCAAATATCACAAAGCAAGTAATAATATGGAATTTTGTAGATTTTACAACATGCATGTGCTTGGGTAATCCAGTGACTTTTAATTATGCAGTCTTCCCCTTCACCTATGTGCTGTGGACTGGCATTGACCGTGGTGTTTGAGTAGTTGGATTTAGTGATGACATTGGAGGAGTGCATCCATACTCCCAAAAAGTCAAGTTGTAGACATGGTACCATTATCCAAGCACTACTTCTTAATTTGAAACTGACCCCTTAAAAACATATTATACACCTGTTGCTAGCTCTAATGGCAAGCAGTCAGTATATGGCAAAGGACTGCATTTATACAAAGGAAAATCTCCTTCAAAAGACAAGTGAGTGAAGGGGATTATATTGGATTATTAGAGAACCAGCACATGAAAATGCACTTAGCACTTATTGGTCAGATTCACAGAAATTGCCATAGGGTGGTGTAAATTGCTTCTCTTGCTGTGTGCAAAGGTAAAATAGGTACTGTTACAGGAATCAGCTTTATGAGCCCAGCTGTTAGAGTCTGCTGAGGATATGTATTGAATCATTGCTCTCCAAGATGCTCTGGCCTTTCTTTGGACTTCCTGGGCCTCCTGTGGGTCCCTTGTGGAAGGGAAGTTCCATATAGTTTCTACATTGCTTCTCTGCTTCTTCAATGGACTTTTCATAATCAGGGTCGTGTGCCGAGACTGTGCAGTTTATAGGGTGCAGGGCAAAAATTATTTGTCCTAGGGTGTTATGGGATACCAACATAGGAGTGAGTATATTTTGTAATGGTATGCACTTCACCCAAGCCATGTCCATGTTACATAGGCAGATGCTGTATGAACTATCAGAGGACATCACCAGTGAAGATTTAAGGAGTGTCATGTTTCTCCTGCGGGACCAACTCCCAAAGAAGCAGACAAATATGGTATGCGGGAAAGGGCTTGGTGTGGCATGTAAGGCAGGATGGGGAAAAGTGTGGAGTAATGGATTTTGCTGGAGTATGGCATGAACTTGCTGGAGCAATGGGGCAGAGCATGGATTGCTTTCCAGGGTGATGGTGATGGCAGGATGAGGGTAAGAAATATAAGGCTGGAGGAAGCAGGCAACAGCTCCAGCCCTAATCCAGAGTTACGGGGCTGGGCTGGAGCAGCAGTAACTGCTCCAAGCTGCTGTTACGAAACTAGACTACAGCCATGCTCTATGTTCCAAGCTGCAGCAGGGATGGAGCCTGCCAGTGAGGAGCAAAGATAACGGGGTGGGGACGGGAGAGTTAAAGAGTAGCCACAGGGGAGAGACTGGGAGTTGGGGACCTGCGGCTGTGGGGAGCAAAAGCCACATGGGGGGGGGGAGGAGAAGAAGGGGAATTTGAGGAAGCCTAAGGCTGCAGGTGGGGGTAGGCACAATGGTGGGTAAGTTGGGGGAGAAAGCAGGCAGCAGGGGGAAAGATTTCTGCCTCTCTCTCTGCCTGCTCCCTTTACTGTCTCCCCTACTGTGTCCCCCACTGACTGCCTCATTACTGCCCCCCTCATCACCTCTCCCCACAACACCTGCAGTACAGAGGGGGGACAAACTTAAGATGATCTTTCAATAATTATATTCCATGTATAGTATCTAATTATTGGGGAGTTGTCTTACATTCAGGGTCATCTTAAATTTAGGTAATATGGTACATGCCTGAGGAATGGTGGAGATGGATTTCCAGTGCCCCACTATCTAGGGGGGAAAGTTGCTGCAATTAGCATTTGTTGGATTTCATGGATTCTTCTGTGAAAATCTTTGGGCTTTTGCTAGCAAGTTTAATGACATTTTCTGATTAGTTTGTGCCTCCACTTCACCCTGTTTCTACCTATTCAGAGGATTCTAAAGATGGGTCACAATGACAGTTACTAGAAAGCACTCAATAAGTTAAATTAAACTGAACAGCTGCTCTTGTTGTAGAAATCGAATGCAGCTCTCTAGGACTTTAATGTTGTCTGCACTTCATAGCTGATAACAATATAACCCTCTCCTCTTACAAGTCAGTTTTTTGAATGAATAATCCTGCCTAATGGATGGCCTAAATAATGGGGGCTAATCTCTTTAGGAGATGTGCCACAAATCAGCCTTGCGTCCTCCCTGAGTATCACTCCAATTCTCTTCCTCTGCCAGATTTATTGCTTTGCTTTCAGTTTCCTATCCTGTGTTCCCTGCCTGATCTCCTGCTTTGCCTTCTGCTTCCTGCTCTATCAGTTGCTGGAGGGATTATCCTGGTGTTGCATTTCCTGGTGCACTTTAGGACTGGGAAGGCCCCAGACTGCATCACACAATGAATACAGTAAAAAGGCAGGCAGGAGGCAGCAAGGCTCTGCATTCCCATTAAGAGAGGATGGAGCAGGAGGCAACCTAGGTTTTTTTTACAGAACAGGACATGACTGGAAGGCCAGGGATAATGAGCACCAAGCTCAGCCTGTTGTCACCAGGGCTCCTAACTATTCCCCAGACCCTAAGCTGACAAGTTCTCCTGAACCTCAGGGCAATTCCCACCTCCAGCTGCCAAAAGCCCTCTCCTACATTCCCTTGGACACCCAAACTTGGCTGAAATCCACATGAAAATCCCATCTCTGTGCCACAGCCTCTCCCCACAGGCCCAGTTTGGCCTTAAACTGCTGAACTGGATGTCCCTTAATCATGCTCAGTTGTAGGGGCTAAGTCAGTGCCCTGAAACATATTTCCTGTTTAACACCTCTAGTCAACTCAGTCCCTGACAGCTTTCGGTGGGGGAGGGGGGAAGCGAAGAGAGGTGTGAGGAAGAGGTAGGGAGTAAAGAGCAAAGATGAGAAAAGAGTAAACTTAGATTTTAGACCAGAGTGGCCAGCCTGTGCCATGAATGCCACAAATGGAATGGGCAGCCTCTGTGTGTGGTATGCAACACATCAGACAGTCTTCCCAATCCTAATGTGCACCAGGAAATGCAACATCAGGGTAATTGCTCCAGCGGTGTTATGGTATCGCCAAGTGGGTCTTCTCTGCATGGGGCTACCAATTACTTTCTCAGGCTAAAGTCCTATAGAAATCCAAGATGGGATTACGCAGTTTTATCACCTCTTTACAACCAGCATCTAACCACATGAAGGCAGTCAGGGGAATTCCCTGTAACGGCATATTTTACCCCTATCTACCCTAAGGGTGTGCTAAGGATACTAAGTACACTGTAAAACTTACTGTGCAGGCGGCTCTTTGGTGGTAAGAAGCAAAGGAGATGACAATAATTGACTGTTTAAAGGCAGTACAGGGTTATTGTTCTCTAAATCTTAATGTCATTTAGAGAAGTATGCTTTACTGTCTTTACTGTTTTTCACTGGCAGTCTACTCTAGAGCTGCTGACCTTATTGGAAAAACAAGGCCTTTTATCAGACAACAACCTGCAGATACTGGAGAAAATCTGCAAGAACATTTCATGTGATCTCCTGGAAAAAATAAACAAATACAAAAGGGAAAGAGGTGGGTAACTTGGCCGCTACATCCACCATCAGCTTTTCAGAGCACAGTGGACCTGCAGCCCCTAACTCTTGGCAACAGGAGTTGTTGCACAAGAGTCCTGGTCCTATATCATTACAGCTGAGACTTGAAATGGGGACATTGAAGGCCTTGGTATGTGAGCTTTGCTCTGCTGCATCTCACTGGAGTCACCTGCTAGCTACAGTGCTGTAAGGATATACTTCCTAGCTCCAGAGCCAACTGCTCTTCCTGGCCACAGCCTGCCAATAAGGCACAGGCTGCAAGTCTGGAAACCCTGCTCCTGTTCCCAGCTTTGCCCGGGTGAGCAGTATGATTGTGAGCACATTATTTTGCATTGCTGGGCCTCAGTTTCCACATCTGCAAAATAGCGGTAATGGTATCAGCTCCTCTTCATAAAACACTTCATGATCTGTAGCTGTGAGGTACTACATATGTATTAGTATTAGCCTGTCTTGAAGGAAGGCATTATAAACAGATAACCCCATGTGTATGTATCAGTTGCGTTATGTTATAAATCCCAGTTCAGTTTCCATCGGGCCATTCTGCAGCTACCAAACTTACTTCATTTAGGATCTGAGGATCTGTTATTTACAAACCTAAGTTTGACCTGGACCACTCAGAAGCTGGTCCTGTCTCCCACTTGACTTCATTGGAGGTTGTGGGTACTCTATACCTCTCTGCTTTCCAAGACCCAGGTCCATGTGGTTAAATTTTGGTGTGTTGACATTTTGTACTGTCTCTACAGCTTCATGTTACTCTTTAGATTTGTTCTTTCTGTGTAGATTTGTTCTGGGCTGGCTGAAAGGGACCTGAAGTTCTCTTGTTTATTATGTCTCTTCTGTTAGTTTCTGAACCTCAGCAGGAAAATTTTCCGACAGTCAAACAATCTGCATCATGGCCCAGCCTTAATTCTGAAGGCTTGTTTCGTGCTGGAGATGGCAGCAGACAGGTATGGTGAAGTGAAGACTTACTTCCTTTTTTCTTGCTTTTGTTTTGACACTGGCCAAGCTCTTTAACTAATTTTCCCTTTTTGTCTAGAGAGGACCAGAAAAGTACTTGTGGTGCCTTCTATAAATATGACTTCCACAAGCATCACATAATTGGGGTCAGAGCATCCTAAATGCCAGTCATGCATCCAATCCCTAGGAAAAGTTTTACTGTTAGGGAAGAAGGAGAGCAAGAAGAGAAATGGCTATGGGAGTGTATGGAGAAGGTGGACTGGAAGAGTTATAGGGGAATAGGAATGAGTGTAGGTCTCTTGATTCTGCTACTTCAAATCTGACCTAGATTGATTGTAACCAACATTGCTGCTGTTTTAATGGCTGCCTCCTTCCCTTTGTAAACAAGTTGCTGTTAATCTACCTTCCAGTGGTCATATTGCAGAGCTGCCGCTATACAGGTGGCCTCATTGGCCCACTAGCTAAAGAGGCCAAAGACTAAGCAGTTATGGAGGCCTAAATATATTCCAAAAGGTACTTCCCAGAAGCATGGTCTGGTCCCCATAGATAAGAGGATATTGGTAGGACAGCATCAGGGAAGCTTGCTTTGCTGCTCTTGCACTTCCTGGATATATGCAACAAGGGTTTGTTTCCACAGCTTTCAGTTTAGCACCTTTCACAATCGAAACACTAGAACAATTTCATAGTTGCTTTTTTTTTTTTAAGTATCATTTGCATAAGATGCAATTGCATGTTCATGCTTCCTTTTTTTTTTTTTTTTTTTTGCA